AGCCAAAAAAAACCCTAAGCCCTAAACCCTAAAACCCTAAGCCCTAAACCCTAAAACCCTAAACCCTAATATCCTAAACCTCTAAACCCTAAACCCTAAACCTCTAAACCCTAAACCCTAAACCTCTAAACGCTAAACCCTAAACCCCTAAACCCCCTAAACCCTAAACCCTAAACCCCTAAACGCTAAACCCAACTTTGAATCTGAAGCTTCGGCAGTTAGGCTCCGGATACCGACGTCGAAGGTTAGACACCAAGAGTCGAGCCCGATCAATCCTCATCTAAAAGCGCGTTGAGGGTTTAGGAGTTTGGGGTTTATTAGGGGGTTTAGGATTTAGGATTTAGGGTTTAGGGTTTAGGGTTTAGGGCTTCGGGTTTAGGGTTTAGGGTTTTGGGGTTTGGGGTTTTAGATGCTGAGACAGGATTAATGAGTCTTAAACTTTATCCTCCATGCCTGCTCATCGAGCCCTGAACTCTGCTGTACCTTGCAACCATAACCTACTTTTGTTTGTGGGTGCTGATTATAAACCCTAATATGGAATTTATAGGGTGTGTCCTTATTTTAAACCCTAACATCGAATTTATAGGGGCCCTGCAAAAAAAGTAGGTCTTGGTGGTTTAAGGTAGTCCTTTCCTTGACCCTTTTACTTCCGGCATGTGGTTCGTTGTAGGAGTTTGGCAGCTCTCAAGTGGTGCCTGGTCATAGCTCTTCCGCTGCTCTGCATCACTCAAGACGGTGAATGCTTCTGCCAGCTCCTCTCATGGAGCAAGGGTTTAGGCTGCAGGGGCCATTCAAACTCTACAGCAAGGTTCAGGCTTCATGGCTTGCCCAAGGATCCATGCACTCATATAAGCTAGTATATGTACTTCCGTACTTCCACTGGGTCGGCAAGTTGGCACATACAAGAACCCTTGACGGACAATGCTGTACTATAAAGATGCTTGGTCCTTCTGAAGCTCAAGCAAGTACCATGAGTTTCGCTTCCCGAAACCCTACACCCTAATACCTAATCCCGTCTCACACAGTCTTCAAATTAGGGCCCGAAAAAACCACATAAGCAAAACAAAGGATAGGGATATCACCTCTAAACCCCTTATAATATAAAGCCCAATAAGGTAGGGATATCTGTATAACATGCTTATGCCTATGTCCTTTTGGGGTTCCTAACAAATCAGAACTTAAACTCCACGGCCTGCACCCCGCAAATCCGAAAGCGGAAGACCATCCATGTAAAGGCCTGGAATATGAGTCAAACAAAAGGTGCATATATACACTACCATTATGGAACTAGGTCCCAAAAGACCATCCTTGATTCTGGTTTTGGGAACCTGATTCCATAATAGCAGCTTTTTTTCGGTACCCTCTTAGTAATGCTATTCCTTGGGGGTGGTCGAACATATGAAGTTTACACTTTCGCTAGACTATACCCCGATGCTTCCATGACCTCTATGTACCCTAAACCCTAAACCCTAAACCCTAAACCCTATGGAGTCTAGGGCCCTAACTATAAGGTCCTCGGAAGCATTGGGGAACATATCCCTAAACCCTAAACCCCAACCCTAAACCCTTAACCCTCAACCGCCCTAAACCCGATTCTGGTGATGAAGACCTCACATAACCAGCCGTTGCTCCTTAAACTTTTCAGCGGCTGCGGCATCTCCGTCCTTGATACGGTTTAGGGGTTTAGGGTTTAAGGGTGTCATTAGGGCTTAAGGGTTGGGTATATTTTGGCATTTAAGCCCTAAGCCCTAAACCCTAAACACTAAACCCTGAGGGATTTGGGGAAGGACGTCTTGGGGATTCTGGGCTTGACGGCCAAAAGGGGGCGTCGGATGTTCAGGTCTGGCGATGAGTCTTCAGAGCTATAGGCTTAAGGGTTCAGGCCTTTGAGTTCGGGTCCAGTCTTAAGGGTTCAGGCTTTAGGGGTTTAGGGGCTTAGGGGTTTAGGGGTTTAGGGATTTAGGGTTTAGGGGTTTAGGCCTTTGAGTTCGGGTCCAGAGTAGAAGCCAGAAAGTTGGAACATCATTCTCCTCATGACCTTAAGGTAAAATATATGGAACCCCAGCACGAATCATCCTAAATCCATGTTCCAACTTTCTGGGGTTCACTATAGAACCTAAGAGAGTCCAGGGCTGTAGTTTCTTGCTAGATTGTATGTTTGAGTCTTAGAAGGTTGAGGGTACAGGGCTACGATTACATGCCCAAGTTGCATTCTTGTCCGGATGCCATTTCAGCGCCAGCTTCTTGTAGGCCTGCGCTGCAGTTGTGGTTCCTGAGGGTTCAGGTTTTATTCGATGCTGCCTTGCTTGTAGATCCATAGTCCAAGACTCAGAACCTAGAGCTACTCGGGGCATTCCAGTGGGCCTAGTGCTGTCGGATGGTCTTTTGAGGCCCTCTGGGAGTATAAGCACATGGACCTTTATCCCTAAACCCTACAAACTGAAAGCCTAAACCCTAAAACCCTAAACCCTAAACCCCAAAACCCTAAACCCTAAACCCCTAAAACCCTAGGCCCTAAACCCTAAACCCTAAACCCTAAACCCCTAAACCCTAAGACCAACTCGAGAAGTTTGGTTTGGGAGGCACAGGTCCGAATCTAGGGCTGCCTTTCGAATCGCGTCCGCGTCCGCATCCCGGGGTATGCCGAGGACCTCCATGGACTTTAGGGCTGTAGGCTTGAAGGCTTTAGTGTTCGGGGCTTTGGGTTTTAGGGTTTAGGGTTTAGGGTTTAGGGGTTTAGGGGTTTAGGGGTTTAGGGCTTTGGGTTTGAGGGGGTTTAGGGTTCAGGGTTCAGGGCTTTGGTTAAAGGAAACTACAGGTGGGAGTTTGGGGTATATAGGGCTTCTATAAGGCCTCCATAAGGTATATAGACTATATAGACCTTCTATAAGGCTCCTGAAACGGTATCTACCCACCTGAAAATGTCCTAGACTTTCCCTAGACCCTAAACCCCAAACCTTAAACCCTAAACCCTAAACCCTGGGCTTTAGCCTTAAGGTATGGATCAGGATTCGGCATTCGGTTTAGGATTCCTCGTTGCGGAGTTCCCTGGCCCCAAAACTCCCAGACATGGTCTCTCAGCTCTACGTCCCTAGGACTTTAGGGTTTAGGGTTTTAGGGTTTAGGGTTTAGGGTTTTACGGTTTGAGGGTTTAGGATTTTAGGGCTTTAGGGTTTAGGGTTTAGGGTTTTAGGGTTTGAGGGTTTAGGGTTTAGGGTTTAGGATTTTACGGTTTTAGGGTTTAGGGTTCCCAGACCCTAAACTCAACCCTAAACCCCAACTCTCTAAACAGTAAACCCTAAAGCCCTGAGCTAAGCCCCAAGCCAAAGAGTAGGCGATGCTTCAAGCGGTAAGACCAAGTCCCAAGGGCGGCCACGGTTGAATCACATTGAGTTCTACTTGGAATAGAGTGGTAATCAGTGATGGTTGCTCGAATTAGTTTTCTTGTGTGTTAATACAACCACTTCAATTTACGTAGACTCCTCTGAATACTTACCACCACACATATGGAAGCGACCATTCAGAGTTGTAATGTCAACTCGCCCAAAAACTTCGATCTTACCCTACAGAACGGGTTTAGCTTGTAGGCTTTAGGGTTTTAGGGTTTAGGGTTTGGGGTTTGGGCTTCGGTCAGGGTTTTCGGAAGGACTTCCTTCTGCTCGTGGAGGGCTGGCTGTTTGGAGGGTTCAGTACAATTCATGTTGCAGCTGCCCCTAGCCCCTAAACCCTAAACCCCAAATCCCAATCCCGAAGTCCGAAACCCTAACCCTGAAGTCCGAAACCCTGACCCCGAATACCGAAACCCTGAAGCCTAGGACTTGGGAATTATGATTAAGCTTTTGAGCTACATGTGTATGAGCACAAATCGCTCAAGTTTAAGAAGACCCCGCCGGCCTTGTAGTAGTCAGGCTGGCTATTCGTCTCACTGCCCACATCGTCAGACATCGCGTAGGCAGCCAAAGCTCAGCTCATGCCGAATCAGGTTTAGGGGTAGTCAGAAGCTCAAATGTCCTTTAGCCTCGGGTCCCTCATCAAGGACTCTTGTTCCTGAGGTAATTGTCCTTCAACTACCATAACCTATTGTTTTGTAGGTCCTTATTATAAACCCTAAGATAGAATTTATAGGGACCCCACAACAAAGTAGGTTTTGGTAGTTTAAGGTATGGTTCCCTGATACGAGGATGCTGAGGGCAAAGGCCCCATCAGCCTAGTGAGGTTGAAGGGCCTGTACGGTTGACGCTGTGCGCGTCGCGCCACGTGGCATTGTATGAACTGCTTAGGGTTTAGGGTTTTAGGGTTTAGTGTTTGGGGTTTTAGGGCTTAGGCTCATAGGGGGTTTAGGGTATGGTCGGTTGCTGACAAGGGCAACAATTCTCTGCAAGTTCCAAACGGATCATGGGTCCTGCGAGGTGCAGTCAGTTTTCAAATGTTATGCAGTGCTTGAGGGTTTCAAGCTGAGGGCGTAGGGTACAAAGTTTATAGGACCTAGGATTAGGGATGATCAGGAAGCCGTGGTGCTTGAGCTTCACAGCTGCAAGGTAGGTCCACGCTGGAGTCCCCCACATACTTGTCTGAACGAAACACGGGTTCATCATTTATGTCTGCTAGCCTTGAACGAACAAACCGGATCATACTTCATGCATGTAAACCTGAAAAAATCAGCATTCATCCAAGAAGTCCCCTCCCCAAGCCTCTCTCTAAGACTCTACGGCTCTGAGGGTCCATGCACCTCAGGATAAGAACCTTTACCGGTAAGGAGATCCTCTACAAAGTGTGCTGCGATGTAGGTACGCGGGGCACTTGCGGATTGGGATTTAGGGTTCTGCTTCTCGTCAAAACCCAGCACTGGAAGCAACACAAAACGAAAAACAACAAGTCCCCAGATTGGGTTTAGGGTGTAGCCCAAATCCAACCGAAACCAGTATACAACGAAAGCCTAAGACTGAAGTCCAAACGTCCACAAACATCCCTAAACCCTACTCCATCCCCTGTTTTATCCTGCCACTGACTCCAATATCACTCGACTCGGCTACTTGCTTTGCCAGTATCCCCTCTAAACTGTGGGTACCCCGTCTGAAACTATTCAGCTTAAGCTTAGGGTTTCCGGGTTTCCGGTTTTAGTGTTGAGGGTTTTCGGGTTTAGGGCTTAGGGTTAATAGGGTTTAGGGGTTTAGGGCTCACAGGGTTTAGGGTTTACCTTAACCCCAAATAACCTACCTTTTTGAGGACTTATATAAAGAAATCATAATAAGGAGCCCTAAAAAAGGTAGGTTCTTTAGGGTCCAGGTAGGGTCTGAGCCACTTTTAGTCTTGGAGACCTCGAGCTCTGTCTGTGCCACCAGAGGGCAGTACGTCACAATACTCCTGGCTATAGACATACTGTTGATAGGGTTTGGGGTTTAGGGTTTATAGGGTTTAGGGTTGATAGGGTTTAGGGTTTAGGGTTTAGGGATTAGGGTCTAGGGTTGATGATCTAAATCCCGCATTACTTTAATAGGACCCCAAACTATGGGAGTTCTGGTATGTTCCTTATTCTGGGTCATGCAGGGTTTATATCATCAGCCGTATTATACTGTATATCAGACAAGAGTCACTCAGTCTCATTTTCCTATTGCGAGCCTCTCTACCCTAAACCCTAGACCCTAGACCCTAAACCCTGTTTAGTTGAAGGGGCATTGGGCTCTCGTGTACCCCAAAATCCCAAGGCGGCAGCACTTCGCCAGAGTCGCGAGGTCTAGTGAGGGTGGTTCTGCAACCTCGAGCCTGGCAAAGGGAGTTTGCAATGTACACATACCTTAAACTACCAGAACCTACTTGTTTGTAGGGTCCCTATAAATTCTATATTAGGGTGTATAATAAGGACCTACAAAAAAGTAGGTTATGGTAGTTCAAGGTACAGTTAAGAGGGCTTAGGGCTTATAGGGTTTGGGGTTGCGCTCTGAGAGGGTTCAAGGGCGTACACTCATCTAGCAAGTAGGGCTACAAGTAGGGTAAGTGTAGCTACCGTGTGACTACCCATGAACCCCATCCAGCCCCATGAAGCCCTAACCCCATACAAAGACACGACGAAACCCTAAACCCTAAACCAGCTAAACCCTAAACCCACTAAACCCTAGAACCCTACACCCACTGAACCCTAAAACCCTACACCCACTAAACCTTCTAAGAACCCCTACATAAGCCGTTGCCTTCACCCTGAAACCTTCAAGTTGAGATGGAGATCCGGAACCCAAACCCAGAACCCCGAACCCTAAGCCCCAAACCCCAAGCCATAACCCTAAACTGCCCTAAACCCTAAACCCCGAGCCATAACCCTAAACCCTAAACCCTAAACCCAAAGGCCTATACCCTAAACCCTACACCCTGAACCCTAAACCCCAAACCCTAAACCCCGCAACAGCTCCTCGGCACGAAGCTTGATGAGCTGCGTCTCCTCCTCGCAGATGATGGCCATCTTGTGACGGAGGCCGAACCTT